TTCAGAAGCAATTACTGTATTTCGGGTCATTTACTGGATAAAGTACTGTATATATGAATGACAACATTGTCTCTACGTCCAATTAAATTTCTCTGCACTGACAAATCAATCTGTGGACATGAATTTTTGCTCAAGCACCTCCAGCTGAATCAAGTAACGTCAGGAGATTATAATCAAACTTTAATAGCCTGATGTGCCTGAAGAATTGGTTGGTCACTGACAAAGAAAGTACAGTCAGAGTTTCTCTGAAATGATTTCTTTGCATATCAATAAGAGCTACGGAACATGTTGTATCAATCAGGCAAAATTCCGATGATTACCACAGTATAGCAATTATGCGCTGTTTATACCAACAGGCATTAAAGGTGATAAACACCAAACACCACCTGGCAGCGAGATTTCTCCAGCAAAACCAAAGCTCAAGCACTCTGCTAGGTACCAAAAAAGACTTGTTTCTGTGTTTCTGTGCTTCTTTGATTTGCAATCCTCTCTGGATGCCTGAGTTTTCCAAAAAGCTAACAAGCAAATCTATGCACTTTAGAAATTAAAAATGAAAGTTGTAGAGCTGTCCTTTCAAACTACTGTGGCTCCTTTTATGAGAAAATGCCACCAAATCTTCAAGTCAAATCTGGCTTTTCAAAAAGAGCAAATCACCACAGCACTTGAGTAAATAAATAGAAAGTCAACATACCCAGGAAAAAACATACTGTGCAGCTTTTAAACTCTGCTTACGCATACTTTAGTCTGAACCAAAAGCACACATAGGTATGGCAATGCTGTAAAGGTTTACAGCTAGAGAAGAAGCTCTGACAGGGTCTTGAAGTGTGAAATAGAGCCCAGCCGCTCCACTACCTATAGAAGTTTCTATGTTAAGGCTTTCTTGGATTAGCCAGTAGACTAATTATGTGTATGTGCCTTTGTATTACTTACATCATGAGGAGCTATTACAACTCAAGGCATTGAATTTTCCAGTTTGAGGGTTAGCTCAACCCAACAACCTACTGGACAAATGCACCAGTGTGTCAGGGCCCATTCAGAAAAGCCTGATGAGCTGTCAGACTAGTGTGTGTGTGCCTAACCAAAACCTGTTTGTGCATTCAAATTGTGGGGACTGTGCCCGCAGCTCCCCACCATGTAATTCTGAATTTTAGGCTAACAACTTGGTTTAACATCGGTGTAAGGGTTGTACAGGTAGTGTTTATAGTTAAGGTTAGAGAACGTCCTGGAAATGCTGATGTAAAATCCACAAAAGGGATGAAAATTAGTGTGTGTGTGAGAAAGATATAAGTAAGCTCATACAGCTGCAGATGAGAGAGTCAGAGAGAGAGAGAGGAGAGAGATTGATGGTGTAAAAACCCTGATGGGAAAGGGCAGTGTGTTTGAGTCTCAGTGCTGTATAAATGTGCTACAGCCTGAGGCAGATGACAGCCAGTAGTAGGTAGCTGGTAGCTAGAGACTACAGAAACTAAGTGCAAGTGAATACTGGGCCTAAACTATATTATTATTTATTGCAGTGCCAGATTCTTGATCAGTTAACCAGTTTAAGAGAAAAACATAATAGTGCTGCCACATCCGCAAAACACAAAAAGCTTGGAACCTGGGATACCTATGTACATATATATGTCACAGATTTCACATATTTCTATTAGGACAAAGAAACATTTCTTGTTTTGTTGCTAAGAAAAACAAAAGGCTCTGTGTTGGTGACCAGTATTCCAAGTGTAATTCTGGTTCAATACAGCTGGAAAAAGAGCAAATACAGGCTCTGGCTTAGCAAGCCTAATGATGCTCTGCAGGTGCTATTTCATGCCAAAACAGTCATCAAAATTTCACTGCGCCCTGCCAGCTTTGTGCATGCAGAACAATGGTTAATGAACTGTGCTTAAAAAGCTTAAAAAGCAAAAATGTTTCAACATTCTGTATGAATGTTCAAAGAACTGCATGTAACTAGTGTGAAGTATTGTCAAAAGCAGCTACAAAGACTACGCTCACATTACAGGTCTTGATCTTTATGTGTGGATGGTTAACATTCATGTTCGTAAGTGACATGTATCCCGTGTGAACACCACTGAGCTTCTGAACTTCCACATGTGCAGATTTAACTGAAATGGGAGCAACGTGCACACAAAAATAACAACGTCATTTGTGGAATGGTCAAATCATACAACTCCCTTAAACTGCTAAGTTACGACAACAGGTGATATGCACAGAGGAATGACAGGTTCAAAGGTGAATTCTGATTTGAGCATTCTGACACAGGTTGCATAGGCAGCAGATAATGGACAAGGATGAAGGCAGAGCTGTTCAGTCTTACCTATAGTGGTGATAACGGTTCCAGCAAAGAAAAAGGAGGAGCTGAGGTCCCAGAGGCTCGTCTGATTGGATGAATTTCCTGAAGGATTCACACCTGCTCGGACAGCTGAAACCACTTGCTGGAGCAGAAGGTAAAGTCAAATAAATAAAGTTAGCACATAATGCTCTGTATCTCAGTGGGAGTCTGGTATCAGGTGGGTATAAGACCATTAGTGGTGTGCATCAGCTTTCTTTGGGAACAGATGACAGCCAATATACATACAGTAATCATCCAACCAAAACCAATTAAGAGCTGTGAGAAACAATGAGGAGCATCTGTCACCTTCATGAAATGCAAAAGAAAATTTCCTTCACGAAAAAGCTAACTAATCTTTACGATCCACGGCTTCAGAAAACATGTTAAGAAATAATTTGTGCACAATTTTTTTGTGCAGTTATGACACATTTTCTTACACATACTTTATTTCTACAACTACACAACAGCATGCAACATTCATCTGTTTGGACAAATCCTCTTACCTATTCAATGCCAAAATACATCAAATTACACAGGGCTTTGTAACACAGGAATTCATTTTGTAACCCACTGGCTTTGCATGAACTGTGCTCAGAAAGTTTACAGAGTCCAGGCTGCACATTTTACAGTAAAACAGTGATGATTAATTAACAGTCATTAGCAGTAAGGTTAAGACATATAACAGACATATAAAAAATAAAAGCACATCCACGGTGTAGTATATTTGTGCTGTGCGGCATCTACTCCTGAATGTTACTATATCTGAGTTTATGGGGACGTTTATACTCTAGTGACCCTTGCAACGTTCCCTGTGATAGAACTGTGCTGGCAAACTACATCAGTTAGTCTTCACCCTACAAGTCTTGTCATTGCAATAAAGTGAAGACATAATATAAAATGATTTTGTTTTTGCCTGGGGCATGCTGTTATACCCTGTCTTATAACATAATATTTGTGAAGCCATCATGTGCATATTTAATACTACTGTGCTGTATTAAAATGAGAAAAATTAAAAGTCAGTTGGAGACTGTTTTCTGTTCTAGCCAACTTGTTGTTTCCCTTTCAGCCAGCAAAACTGGAATAAAGGAGTGGTTGTTTTGGGTAGTAAATCTTCCACACACTGGATAAACTTTTATACCCAAATGTATATATGGGATATTTTCCAATTAAGAGCAATAAAGATGTTTTAATCCGTTTGTGATGCACTTTTAATAAATGCAAGACCTGTACTAGAGGGCGGGTACCTCTTTTTGATGACCATGATTTGTACTTAGTATCAGTAAACCTTCAGGAGTAGAGTAATAGCTCTACAATGACACTGCACAGTATATAACACCGCCTACAGTTCCCCTGAAGTAGCACTGTGAGCTTTTTCTGTGACTGCTCACACATACACAACACAGTTCAGGGTCACTGCAAAGTCAGGGTGCTGCCTGCTATGAGCCATCATCCTTACTAGAGCAGGGAGAGCTTTGATTAACCTGCGACTATTTGGAGCAAAAAGGCAGTAAAGAGTGAATGTGTAAGAGATGAAATGGATGAATAATGGACTGGAAACTGGGAGAAGAGGCATTAATGTAATGGCACAGTGTTAACATGACATGATAGTTCAGATGATGGAGAAATAGGGCTGATGGTATGGAACACTGTAATGTAATGTAACGGGCTTAACTGTGTTTTTCTTATCCCCATAACTGACAAACACAAATAGAGAGTTGGTTCACTCACATTAAAAAACAAGATGCATTCTCGCTACCCAGCCCAGTATCCCAGGAATCAGTATTCATAAAAAATAATTTCACATCTCACAATTTGCCACTGTTACATGAAATGATATCTATGGAGTGAGGTGGGAAGTAAAGGTCCGGTGCCATAACCATGAGCTTTCCTTATCATTAACCATAACATAGCTGACACACACAGCTATTGTACAACATGAGAATGTTGGCATTAGATGTAAAAAAAAATATCATCACTTGAACATTATCCAGGAAACTTTTAACCATGTTTTGAGACGTCTTCCACTAACATCATTTTATTTATGATGTTTAAAGAATTGAAGACCTTACTGTCAGTACTGTAGTTTTCATAGGAACTATGAGGAAATATTTGCAGAGAATTGTCACCCAACTCAAGATCTCCAAGAAAGCATGAGGAGCTAGCAGACAGTAAACAAATTAGAGAACATGCAATGAAGAAACATGTCACCTGGTGCATTGTTTTATGGCCTGCAACTTTACTGTTTACTCTCACTCCCTGCACCTCTAAGAACACTAAGCAAATTTAGTATAATACTTGTGTGGTGTAGAAGAGAATCATTTATTGCTTGCAAACCAATGATGGTAAGATGATGTCATGGGGTAGGACTGGATAAGTCTGACTTCTTCCTACTCCATTCAAGCATGTACTAAGTATATGGATTATGTGTACAATCATGTGTGTTGTCATATCAACTGTCTTTACATGTTTGAAAGAATAAATCAAATCAAATCAAATCAAATCAAATCACACAATAGGACAGGCTCGGCTCCATCAGGTCCTTTGTTTCCTATCCAAAGCGGCCAAATTAATTCACCATTTTGGCACTCACTTGTATGCAAATTGTCTACGGCCATGGGAAATGATAAGACAGGATGATGTGAAGATGGTACTGGTTGTCTAAAAGCTGAGCCAAACGGCCAGGAGAAATTGAATCGTCTGCTTTTTGACATCACTCACTTTTTTAATTACTCCCTTTGAGAACACATCTCTCCTCAATCCTCTGCCGACTGGCTTTTGATCAGTGGGAGTCTGCAAAGGTGGATATATGTGTGTGTATAAACAATTAAGTAAAAGCAAGTGGGGGACACCTGCATTGAAGCTGTATATCAATAAATCATCAGAAGAGAAATATTGTAGCTGCTTGAAAGGCGCCGGACTCATGGAGTTTACTGACTGATAAATGAAGGGCAGAGCTGTTTGGTTGGCCTGTTGTCTAGTAAAAACAAGATCTTATTATGTTTATACTACAGAAACTAGCAATTAGCCTAATCTAACTGCATTAGGAAAACATGAATTCCTGTGTCACAAAGCCATCTGATAAATGATGTAGTAACAGTGCACAGTATGTAGTAGCAGAGGTGTTGCAGGTAAAGAGCCAATGAAGAAAAGAACCTGCCCTGACAATCCCTGCTCTTGTCAGATGTCGTCCTTACTGACTTGTGCACTGAGCAGCTGTTTGGGTTTTTCAGCAGACACTTAATGACTAATTGCAACCAAACTGTGCAGCATAAAGCATTTATATTCTGTATGTCCAACATGAACAATGGTGCCTTCTAGCTGCTTTTGCAGAACTGTGATGTGTTTCTGTTTGCATTGTATACTGCCTGTGCGTGAACATATTATCAGAGTCAGTGTGTAACTTGCAGTGTGGCATAAATGAAGGGCAGAGCTGTTTGGTTGGCCTGTTGTCTAGTAAAAACAAGATCTTATTATGTTTATACTACAGAAACTAGCAATTAGCCTAATCTAACTGCATTAGGAAAACATGAATTCCTGTGTCACAAAGCCATCTGATAAATGATGTAGTAACAGTGCACAGTATGTAGTAGCAGAGGTGTTGCAGGTAAAGAGCCAATGAAGAAAAGAACCTGCCCTGACAATCCCTGCTCTTGTCAGATGTCGTCCTTACTGACTTGTGCACTGAGCAGCTGTTTGGGTTTTTCAGCAGACACTTAATGACTAATTGCAACCAAACTGTGCAGCATAAAGCATTTATATTCTGTATGTCCAACATGAACAATGGTGCCTTCTAGCTGCTTTTGCAGAACTGTGATGTGTTTCTGTTTGCATTGTATACTGCCTGTGCTTGAATATATTATCAGAGTCAGTGTGTAACTTGCAGTGTGGCATAAATGAAGGGCAGAGCTGTTTGGTTGGCCTGTTGTCTAGTAAAAACAAGATCTTATTATGTTTATACTACAGAAACTAGCAATTAGCCTAATCTAACTGCATTAGGAAAACATGAA